CCCCCCCGCGCCCGGCTCCCCCCCCCTGACGCCCACCCGCCGCCCCCTCAGCCTCCCGTCTCCTCACGGGCTCCCTGCTGCTCCTTCCCCTTCTTGGGGATCCCCCTGTCCAGCCTCCCCTGGCCTGTAAGGTGGCAATGTGCCTCCCCTGCCCGCCTCCTAGCAGCTGCCCTTCTCCCTTCTCTCCTCTGTCCCGCTGTACCCCACCGGCCCTGGTACTCCCCTCCTATATATCATAATTGAAAACTGGTCTGAACATGTCGGCTACCTCCCCTCGGGCGTCCAGCCACCCGGTGAGGAGCCCCAGGGTGGGACCGTGAGTGATGTGGTTAGCCTTTGATGGGGGTGGGATTGTGAGTGATGTGGTTAAACTTTGATTTCATCAGCTGATGAGCCCTTCAGACTCCAGCACTAGATGAGCCGGTTCTCCTTTAAGCGTTAACAGATACTCTTCGTTACTCCTGGGAGCAGTGTAAGCTCTTTGTGAGCAGGTTTGTGCCCTCCTTCGCAGTCATGCGGTGCCTAGCAGGCCCCACAGAGGAACAAATAAATAAATAAAAATCACCAACTCCCTGCTCCTAAAGCTACTCATGCTGTTCAAAACACCATAAATTGCAGACCGAGACCGGAGGTTCACCGGCAAAGTGGTTTGACAGAGCAGTCCGGCACACGGGGCGTTTGGTCCAACTCACGCTGTACCTGGGAGGGATTTGCTTTTGATTTGCGAAGTGGCAGCAGCTTTACTTGGTGGTTGGCTTCGCAAAAGGAGTTATAAAGCAAGGATTTTCTTGATGGGGCCTTTAAACAACAATTCATTTTAACAAGGGGTTGACAAGCCAGCTGCCTGTTCAGAAATGTAGTTCTGCACCAATAGCCCTGCCAAAAAAAGTTTTAAAAGAGCTGAGGGGCCACCGGAGCCTCCATAAACTTCAGGGTTTTACAGCACCGAGCCGCTATCAGAGCGGTTTCCTCAATCTTTTGCTGCATTGGTAAATCATTTATTTCTGTGGACTCTAAAGAAAATCCCTTAGGAAAAGGGCCGTAAAAATGCGTTGATAAGAAAATACAGCTGTCCTGCTTGCCGTCTGCAAAATCCTCTGACTACAGTTACATGTGCAACACACTGTGTCTTGCCAGGTGTTTTTTTGGGGGCAGTTAGCGGGGAAGGAAGAGTAGGTTAATCCTGCAAGAAGCATAGATTACAGTTCAAAACCTCTGTGCAAAATTCAGGACAGTCCAGTAATTTGCAGTACAAATCATATTTTCTTTTGGTGTGAGCCTCATGAAAGTAAATAAGAAAAGACATAGATAAACGTAGCAATATAAGACACAGACAAAGTATTCTAAGGGACAGCAATCATAAAAATTAGATAAAACTCATATGATTGCTTTGGTTTGCAGTCTGCATCTTGCTGGTTTTGCATTTCATAGTTGAAGAAATACTGCTTAATCAATAAGTGTGTTCTTCATACAACGATAATACCGTGCGTTCTCTTGGGACATTTTTCTTCTGAGGGATTTTGGCTTTTGCAAACCTTCGTGTTGTGTGCGTCAGGACTGGTCCTTGTTATTACCAGCTGCTTATTGATCTGCTATAGCTTTCAAAAAGAGGCAAGGGTAGGTTCTTGGCATGGCTGGAAATCGGGGCTTTTACGTAAGCAGGCAAGGCGTCTTGCATCATCTAAGACGACGCTTTCTCTGAATTGAGAAAAAAAACCCAAAACAATTAACAACTTTGTTCCATCCCATAGCAATAGCATCTACCAATCTGAAAAACATACAGTCAGCTGTATGGGGACCAAAAGCCCTAAGGGCCAAAACGTTATTTAAACAGTTTAATCTTCATGTTTGTCGTCTTCTGCTGGGAGGAGGTTGCCCGTTTGCCGTCTGCCGCGTGGCATTTCCCACGGTGGAAACGGCGATTTCGTTCCAGGGTGAGCGAAACTCGTGGAGGTCAGACCTGCGTGCCTGGAGGAGTTTGGCGAAGGTGACTCAGGGGTGAAGTTATCAGCGTGTTTCTGCTTTGGAAAACTGCCCTGATTCCTCTACAAGGATGAAATGGGATGCGCCAGAGGATCTCTACCTGAATTTAACTAAACTCGGCACCTCTTTCCTGCTGTTTTTTTTTTGTGTCTTTAGCGGATTTCTTCCAGTGTTTGGAATGAGTTTCCTTTTGGTTCACTGGTTTGTTTTGTGAATCATCTTAAATCATAACCTTTTAATAGCTCTGCTGTGCTATTAAAGTATTTATAGAAAGTTTATCCTGTTGTCCTCTCGGTTACTTTTTCCTAAGCTGTGTTGATTTGGTTTCGCTCTAATGATACCTCCTGGCTTTTCATCAGCCTCTATTGCCAGTGCCATTTCTTTATGTCGTCTAATGAGTTTCTTTGTTTGACATGCGATAAAGCAAGTAATGCTCTTATAAAAACATTACCAAGGATTTTATAGAAAATTATAAACCATGATAGTCAAATATCTTAGAGAATAATAAAAGAACAATCTCTCTCCTATTGAATTTCAGTTTAAGAAAAAAAAAACAAAAACAAACAAACATAAATTTCTGTTGCATCCTGTTACATACTTACGTATAACCCAGTGGGGTTTCATTCCTGTTAAATCCTGCAGGACTTTTCCGCAAAGCAGGAGAACACAAAGAATAACTTGCATGAAGAGTAAAGGATCATCATGTGCATTTCTCAGGTTATAATTTGTTTGGTGATCTTAACGTCACTTCTTATAAAACTGAAACTGCTATTGATTTCTCTCCTGTTTTGGATTGACTGGGAGTGTTGATAGGTTCGGGAAAAGAGAGGTAATTAAATAGCAAATCACAAGAAAACGTCGATGACTGCTTAATTTATCCCATTAACACAGAGTTGCTATGTCTCTCCCTGTAAACATGGCAGCAAAGCTTTTCTAATACAGCACTAAGGAAAGAATAAAGAGCAACTTGTTATTGCAATAGCTTGAAGAAGAAAGCCTGAATACTTGTCTGGAGTGTGTACAAATAAATTTCTCCAGATTTTAAAATAGTCTAGGAACTATTTATTCAGAGTGGTTTTTCATCTTCTCCTGTACTTAAGGAGTCTCCACTTTTACAAAAAAAAAAAAAACATTTCTTTTCAGAAGTTTCT